CTTTGCCAACGGAGCTCTTTGTAAGAAATAAGAAAACTATGCGACCCAGCCTGTCACAATTGCCCCGTGAAGGGTATTTTTTTTGGTCGCATGCAAGGGATGACCAAAGCGGTCTTAGACCGCCAAACTTGTCAAAATGACCGCCAATCTCCTCCTAAATGGTTAATGAGCAAGACGTAAAGGGGATAGAAGAACGCTATCCCTGGTCCCATCTTTCGCTTTTGCTTCCTGGACAAGATGGTGGTGGGCAACAAATCTCGGCTGCATCCAGCTTCGACGACGATCACGGCCGGCAGTGCCCGATTTCTGGCTGTAAAAAGATGTACATAGTAAGATAATAATAAGACTAGTAGCAAGCAGCTCTCTTCTTTGAACACAATAAACTACTACTGCTGTACGTCGTACTCTGCATCTCTCTTGTAAGATAGAGACGAGATACGTCCGGTAAAACTTTAGCTAGACTGGAGCGTGTACTACTGAGGTAGTGGAAGCCAAGGACGCTCTCAATCCACACTGTACACAATCGACTAAAGACGCCATCATTTGGGTTGGCATTGTTCCCACGTACAGGTACCTCCAGTCAATGTATTTGCTAGAAGGTGAGGGAAATTTGTAAGGAGAGGCCAGTGGGTCCCTCCACACGCTCAGACCCATTTTTCCGGGGGTTTGAGCCACTGAGCTCTGTGCGTAAGATGCGTCAACAGGGGTACGTCTCACCATGAGCCCAGCTTTACCACGGAGAGAAAAGCCGTGTGGTTCCGGGCGTTCCAGGCAAGAGTGTAAAAACGGGAAAGACGAGCTAGCCACTACCCCCAGAAGAGCTGCTGCATTGGACGATTGCAAGATACGAACATTTCACACATACCTTACATAGTACGCGTGCACCGGAAGATGCACCCTACGGAGTACCGCTAAAATCTCGCACTACACTGCGCCATCCATCACCCACGGTCTCTGTCTTATAACTGGCAGTTCATATAACAATCCCTCCATACATACATATCTTGTTCGTACGGGCAAGGAATACAAATTATACTCCGTACTACCCCATACATAGTATGCAAAAAGTGAGATACTTCGCTCGCAGTAACTATTTCCGTGAGACGATCACCCAAATGGTCTTGCCCCAACCCGAAGAAGGACAGTATTTTATGTGTATACGAGCTTAACATGGTGAGATACCAGCCTTACTCTCAAGCCTTGTGTTTACTTAAATTAAAGCGAGATAGTGCGGTACATACATACATATGTAGTAACTTGCCCTTTCCGGTGCCAAGACTTGTCCTTTGTGTATATCTTGTATACTATGTTTCTTCGGCGCGCCGTAATACAGACATACTCCGTAGTTGCATCTCGGCTTCTCAGATCTTGTACATAGTAAAAACGGTAACATTAAAAAATCCTTCCTCGGGGTTTTAAGGGTTATATTATTACGTGTGCCCATACAATGTGTGGTTCACTAACGAGCTTAAACATATATATGCTACGTGCAATTTCTAAAGTTTTCACTTGACGCCTGCACTACTACCCGTATGTACGATGTACGGCGTGGGTGCTCTGGACACGTGTCCCAATGCTCCGTAAGGAGGACTCATTGCAACAAAGGCGTATTTTTTTTCATCCCAAACCAGCCGGCTGGTCCAATTAGGTTGTATCGTTCATTGTGTCTGTTATTACATGGTAGTTACAGGCAGGCTCGCGCCACCAGCATCCTTGTAAGATACTTTGACCGAGTATGTACTTTGTACTCCAGATGTAGATCATTCCGTGTCGAGTACGGTGTGCTGTTACTAGTTCTTGCCTTTGCAGCTGAGTGGGTCTCTCCGCAAAGCCTTAGTGATTGACCTAAATCCACGCTACTGCGGCCAAGGTAGTAACGAAAATCACAGTGCCAATTAAACAAGGTGGATGGGCAGTGCTGTTTTTTTTTAGCAGGCTTTACCTTGTTTTGAAGTCGCTGCATCTCTGGTTCATCCACACAAGCTAGCATGCTTGGTCCCTGTTGTCATTTCATGGCTGGTGGATACGTCGTATGTCGTACGGGAATTGCCATTTCCCCATTCCATCCTAGGGCTAAGCGAGATGTACTCCGTACCTACACATAGCGGAGAAAGAACGGGAGAAACGGGACGGCCGGACGACAGTCGGTTTAGCTGCTTAAAGTCGTTGTCATTGCTTGAAACAAAAAACGGCAAGTGTCAGATGTGACTACTCCGTAGTACCCCAGGGAGGTCGGGAGATTACAACGGCCATGTCTCGGCCGGACTGTGCTCTATTCTATTATACCATATTTCCGCACCATGTTAAATCACTTTCCTCGTGTGCCTGCGTCGTACGAGCAGTGTTCTTTCTGGCCATGAAATTTCCTAGCTGTTCCTAGTTATTGATTTTACAGCATTAGGGTGTCATCCACTGCCATGCCCAGGGTCGTTCTTTTCGTACTGCCCACCGGCGTGCCCCGTGCTGGGTAACATAATGATTTTAAGCAAATAACGATGACCGCAAACATTGGCGACCTAGTTAAGGGAATTAGAACTTTCAACCTCCTTATATTCTATCACGTTACTGGAACAGACCCAGATAATGATTGCCCGCTTACTCTGTATACTGAGTGCATGCACCCTTGTTCCAGCCCTCGCTCGCAGTGTGGTTGGCTAAGTATTGATCTTGTTATCCCCTAAGTTACGAAACTGTGTATGCGACTATATTAACACAAATATAGGCATATTGGTTACAAGTAGAATATGCATACTGCCAGAGGCCTTTCTAAGCTTAGGATACTTTCCTCCTGTAAGGCAGGTATAATACTTGCAAACCTCCGTAGAGATTGACGAACTAGCTAATACTTGTCAATCGACACTAAACCTCATCCTCTCTACTCCGTACTTAGTCTTTGATTCAACTATCTACCAGCCAGGCACAGTCAGTGTTTTGTATCTTTTGTTTGTCCCCTATACGACGAATACGCCTAGTACGTCAAATTTGGTTATCTGCAGCAAAAACTACATATTCATCCGCACACACTGCACACATTTGCCAACAGGCAATATAAAGACATTGTCGCCCTACGATAGCTTCCATTTCCCCTTTACCTGAAATTTGTTCATTTATCATTAAGAAAAAAAGAATAGGTATATTGATCTTACTATGGGAATGTCTTTTATACACTACGTAGACCACGTATTGGGACGCCAATCGGAGAGGAAGCAGTCTAATTGAATTTACTTTGTATCAAGGAGAATTGGCGAGACATGTTTGATTCCCCTTCTAAACTGTACGGAGTAATGTGTAGACAGGATTAGAACCTAAACAATGCACATTGTCTCTACCTCCCCCACCTGCATCTTGCTATATCCTACTATTGGCGTGACATGCAAAACATCAGCATGGTCCAAACCGCTATAATGCTGCCTTTCACCAATATATTGTACAGGCTGTGCAGCCCCGGGTAACTCTTAAAATGGACCGAGAAAGTCCTGCATCACAAGTGAGCCCCATGTTATTTCGACTAAGTATGTGATATGGCGTTGCGCCTCGTCCTTATCATTGAACGAGACAAATCGTCAAAACGAGTTTAATGTCTCTTGATCTGTTGTTAGAAGCAAGTCATACCAGGCAGAGGCTGAGGAAAACACGTCAAGGTCCACGGCAGCAGTTTAAAAAGTGTAGTCCGTATAAAGTCAAACACCGAAGGTTGCGGACTGATGCCACTCCTACGAGGAGTGACATTAAAACTAGAAAAACGTATTGAGCGCGCGTTGTCTAGAGCCAATAACTTAGTAGAAGACAGGTAGGGCATCGCGGTCTTACCTAATATGGGTCGCACTTTGATACTAATCAACCGTCTCAAGTCTCATCATCAGACTTGTTGTCTTTGAAGTTGAAACAGCCAAAAAAAAAAAAGTCTTGATGCTTGCATCCATTTTCTTTGAACCCGTACACCTTTTTTAAAGGCACCCTCGACCCCTACGACTGAAACTGGTTTCCTACTTCGAGATAACACTGTAGAACTATGGGAAGAGATGTTAACTTCGAAATATAATGTTGTTATTTCAATCGTATAACTTGTTAGTCCTACTCCGTATTGTATTTTGTGGCAAGTCCCACCTAGAAGAATACATTAGGTAGGTTTTCTTTCCTAAACGCTATAAACCCGCTTGAAGTCACTAAATATCTTTCTTTGTCTTTCTTTAACTACTGCATTGCTTCAGTATTATTGCAGGTCACTTAGGTACGCGCGTCGCTATATTAGTAAGACGCTTGCACACACATGTATATATACATTTATGTATTTAATGTCTTTACACGGTAAGCTTGTAGGCGCCACTGTCTGTAATGATTGGCTTCTATCTTGTAATCAGGATACCTAACTGATAAGGTGGACCAGCACGTCCTACGTATTTAAATAGAAAAAACTGTACGAAGTACGGAGTACATACCGGTAGCTAAAACTACGTTAGACAAAGCAACTTCTTTGATAAGTATACATCCAAGTGCTTAACTCCGACATCAGTTGCGCAGTATCCATCGCTGGCCCTTAAAAAAAACTCTAAAAAATGGGGGACTTCGTAGGAGCTGATTGTCGCAGATGGCAGTTGAGAAGTTTTCGTCTGTCCAGATAACAGCGCTGACCGCAATTTCTCGGGTGTTCCTGAGATTCAGAAACAACCCAATCAGGGCCTTGATTGGCTGCAGCTTTATGAGCATTAGTTCGGGTGACTAATTTACTTCACCCACGTGCGATTGCGAATGCAATCCACTTTAAAAAATATTCTTTTGAGTACCCCTCATCGCAATTCATTTCCTCCCTTTTCATCTTCCTCTTCGCTCATCTCACCTTCTGTGCACTCTTTGTAAGTCTAGTCACTTCTTGGCCGATTCTAGGTTCAATTGCTGATAACATACTTTCGTTGAAGTCTTTGCATGACGTATCTGCACTTATCGGGACTTGCTACAATCATAGATCGTTCGTTTTCCGACGCATCCCCGCCTCTCTAAAAATGTCTTCTGTCAACGGTACTTCTAGCCTGCCGGCATGGCAGACACACAAGTCTGGCACGTTTCTTTTCACTGTAAGACTCATTCCATGGATCAATTCTTCAAGCCCAGAAATTGTAGTACGTGTTGGACAATTTGTTCTGACTTTAAATGCCGTTAGTCCGAATCAGTTGGTGAAGGTCACCCTGATAAGATTGCCGACCAGGTCTCGGATGCCGTTCTTGATGCTTGTCTGAAAGACGACCCTCTGTCTAAGGTAGCCTGCGAGACAGCCACCAAGACGGGTATGGTCATGGTCTTCGGTGAGATCACCACCAAGACTCGACTTGACTACCAAAAGGTCGTCCGTGACGCTATCAAGGACATCGGCTATGATGATTCTGCAAAGGGATTTGACTACAAGACTCTCAACCTTCTTGTTGCTATTGAGGAACAATCTCCCGATATTGCTCAGGGTCTCCACTATGAGAAGGCTCTGGAGGAGCTCGGTGCTGGTGACCAGGGTATCATGTTCGGCTATGCTACCGATGAGACCCCTGAGCTCTTCCCCCTCACTCTGCTGTTAGCTCACCGCCTCAATGCTGCAATGTCCGCTGCTCGCCGTGACGGCACTCTACCGTGGTTGCGCCCCGACACAAAAACCCAGGTGACCGTTGAATACAAGCATGACAATGGTGCCGTCGTCCCCCAAAGAGTCCACACGGTTGTCGTATCAGCCCAGCATAGTGAGCATATCACTACGGAGAAGCTGCGCTCTGAGATCAAAGAAAAGATCATCAAGAAGGTCATTCCAGCTCAGTACCTGGACGACGAGACGATCTACCATGTATGTTTGGCGATTTAAACTAGCATCTCCGATTTACTAACGCTCACCCTAGATCCAACCCTCCGGCCTGTTCATCATTGGAGGCCCCCAAGGTGATGCTGGCCTGACTGGCCGAAAGATCATCGTAGATACTTACGGTGGTTGGGGTGCTCATGGTGGTGGCGCTTTTTCTGGAAAGGATTTCTCTAAGGTTGACCGGTCAGCTGCCTACCTTGGTCGCTGGATTGCAAAATCACTGGTTGCTGCAGGCTTGGCCCGTCGTGCGCTAGTTCAGCTTTCGTACGCCATCGGTGTAGCTGAGCCGCTTTCGTTGTTTGTCGAGACATATGGCACGTCCGAGAAGACGTCAGACGAGCTTGTCGAGATCATTCGTAACAACTTCGACATGCGCCCCGGTGTTATTGTCAAGGAACTGGACCTGGCAAAGCCCATTTACTTCCAGACGGCCAAGAATGGTCACTTCGGCACTAACCAGAGCTTCAGCTGGGAGAAGCCGAAGACTCTCAAGTTTTAATCGCCGGGATCCGATGCATGGTGGGGCTAAACACAGCACACACCTCAGCTGGGGGACTTGTAAGAAAGAATCAACTTCTTTTTTACATCTTCCTCCGTTACTTCAAAGAGTCTGACTAGTTTGTATTGCCTTTGTTTTTGTTTGTTTTTTCTTTGCAAAAACAGGAGGCACTTGTAATGCTCATGACCATGGGTGAAATGACGATAGCACAGGCGTACGGTTTCAACATACCTTCGGTTTTCACGAGAGGAGAGGAGGAGCGGTAAACGGACCCTTTACTCGGACAATTGCTGACGAGCTCTCACCCTCGGATAGAGGAAGCATCGCAGTATTATTTTTCTTTTTATGTCATATTTAGTTGCATATTTCGCATTTATCTTATAGGTGTCATATAGCTGCCCTTGCTAGAGAACTACGGTTCGTGGCTTGTTCAACATTAGTAATTGCGGGGGGGGGGGGGGGATTCTCGTGTACTCATTGATAGGAGGCACAATGAGAAGAGGAGCATGACGTTCGTCTTTCAACAAAGACAACCATTTTCTGGGCAGGATAATAAATCACTACGAACGCAAACGCAAACGTTGTCGTTATAGGAAGTACCTCCTTGAAAACAAATGCCTCTCTTTGCATCTTGCCTGACCCAGATAATAGCTAAGTGGTCATAAGGTGTGCTTTGTTCTGTCCAGTTGATTGGTCACTGCTTGGATATACTTGTAGTACGAGTGAATTGCGCCTTGATCAACAACAACACATTTGGCATTTTTGCGCAAGCTTCAAAGTTGTATTTCCCATACACAAACGCGCTGAAGAATATGCTCCCCACCCATGTTCTCTTGGTAGTATATAAAGGAGATGACAAAAAAACAGTTGGATCAGGAAATAATAAAAACAGGAATATGAACGCAAAGTTCCCATGCACTATTACAGCATCACGGCTAGTTCGGGCCTGTCCACCTTCTCTTCTTCCAAGTCGGGGTAATAGGGAACCATCGAATCAGCAGCTCCAATATAGCAATCCGACAAGACCCTCCAGTATATCGTTCTCACCTTCCGTGCTGGATGAAAGAGGCCGGCCCAAACATAATTCAACACCAGGCCAGGTCCCACCGCCACGCGAATCGCTTCAATTGCTTCCACAATCCTATCGATTACATGCGGGCTTGTCTCAAAAAGGTTCGGGTAAAGAAGATTTAGCAGATGGACCATGGCATCCTCGCAGCCAAGACCAACGACACCCAGAGCAATGTGCTTGACAACAGAAGCTGCGGTCTGTCGGTGGACCTGATCACGGTCAATCAGCGCGTCCTCGAGCAAAGGCGTCACGGCATACACATAGTCCTTTGCCATCTCGCCGATGTACTCAAACAGAAATGAGAGCGACTTCAAAACACCATTTTGCACATTTAGCTCTGGGACACGGTACTCATTCATGAGTGCCGGGAGAACCGTGAAGGGTGCGCAAGTCTCTGCAACAATGCCAATTGCGACGGCAGTATTGACACGAGATTGGCGTTCCTGGACGCGTAAATTGTTCAGGAGTGTCGCAAGAACGTCCTGGGGTCCAATTGCCTTTGCAATGAAACCAAATGTATTGTTTGCGGCCCGGCGAATGCCCTTCTTGTGAGCCTTCAACATGTCCAACAGCTCGAAGCAGATACGCATCCACTCTCGTGCATTGACACTTTCTGGTCCGCGGTCGGCAATGCGGCCCACGAGATCAATCGTGTTCTCCTGCACTTTTTCGTGTCGGTTTCGGAGAATAGGTGTCAGTCTTGGTAGCAGATCCTTGATGGGAGGTTGCATTTGGCTAATACCGACAACGGTGACAATGGACCGAAGTGCACCCAAAATCGAACCCAAGACCTCTGGATACTCCTCGCCCAAGTATTCGTACAAAACAATGCCGAGTTTGCCCATAAGTGCATCTTCGCCACACTGCTTCATCACCATCGCTATTCGCGAGATCAGGTCCGCCGCTTGTTGCCGTACAGTTGCCGACTTGTTGTTTAGCCGCCACAGTATAGTGCTGACAATTTGTGGTAAGTAAGGCTTGCAACGGGTGCCAAGGGCGTTGACGACAGAGCCAAAACCGTTAAGCATGACAATGTCCTCTACTGATTGTTCCTGGAAAGCATGCAAAATTCCATCAACAAGCCTTTCCTCTAGGCGCTCACCAATATCAGCCGCACCAAGCGAAGAGACCAGTTTCTCGACCGTTTCCACCGTCATTTTGCGATATGCTTCGCTCTCATCCTTCAGATTGACGACGATTCTCTCCAGAATCTCGCTCACTCCAACCTTTTGGCCAATGTCAACGGTTGTTTCGACAACCTGCCGGTAGTTTCGCTTATCCAAAGCCATACGGCGCACCCAAAACCCTTTGAAGAATTCGTCCAGAACGTGTTCCTTTAGGTACCCAGCCGTGACACCTTCCGTGCTCGCGCATTGGGACACTACCTTCAGGACTACCTTCTTCATCTCTTCATCGGGGGAAGAAAACTCCCGCAGCAAAATTTCCATAATTTGGCTGGTGTAGTAGTTGGCGTATTCCTCGTCCATGAGTGGGATGATGTACCCGACGGCTTTCAGAAATCCTGCAAGCCCCTTGCCCCGCTGCTTCCGGGCACCTGTCCATAAGGGATTGAGTATGTCGTCAAAGCTCTCGATACCGTACGGGTTCGAGGCCTCGGCCAGCGCAGCAATGGCCAAGCTGGTGACAGTTCTGACCTTGGTTTGTTCGTCATTGAGGCATGGGGCAATGCAATCGACCAGTCGCTTGAGATAAGGGAGGATGGCACACCCCATGAGAATAGGGATTTGCTGCACAATCTTCACGCCTGTGTGGCGCGCTTGCCATGATTTCTTACTCCGACAAACAGCCTGGAGAAAAGGAAGAAGTGCGGGAATGCCCAAGGCAGATGCAACGACAGCAAAAGCCCTCGCCGTTGTGTTCCGCACATATTCGTCAACATGATCAATATCCGGCCTCATTGTACTGATCATGGTTGCCAAACCTGCAGCTTTGCTAAGATTAGAGATAATCTCGCTGCCCTCGACTCGAGCATAGTAATCTTGATCGATGAGAAGAGGTTCGATGACAACAAGAATTTTGTGAACGAAAGGCCGGACCATATCATCTAGTTTGTAGAGAATCCGATCGATCACCTTGACAAGCAAGTGACGCTCTTGATCTTCAAGGCTCTTTTCCATCAACAGCGGTAGAATTTGGTTGAACAACGGACCCGCACCGAAGTTTCGTGCGTTGTCGGTCAATTGACGAAGGGCCGTCTTTCGCATCGGCGGGGTTCCGTTCTTCACTTTGAGGAGCAGTCTCATGATTTTTCTCTCCTTCAGCTCCTCTACACTAAGCGTGTCCTCGTCAGCCCCATCAGACAACTTGCCAAAGTAAGTGACATCTTCTGGTTTCAGAAACTGCAAGTCCCACATGCCGGGTATTGCCTTTGCCATCGGTTGGCCAGCCATTCGTCCACTGTCGGGATCCTGCATCACAAATCCAGTTGCCGGTGCTGGCGTTTGCTGAAGTTTGTGTAATGGAGCACGAATGGGAGCGTAGCCGGGTGGAGGGTCAAGAACTTTGTAACCATCTTCTGGTCCCGGAAGCATGATGTCAAGCTCTTCGTCACTGATAGGAGCGTTACGCGACGACAAGTCATTACCGAAACCGATAGGAGCTGTAATTGCTGCTTGCAGTGATGGATGCGCAGGGGTGATGAGGCCTTGGTCTCCAATTGGCGTTGCAGATGGAGCTTGGTCCCAGCGTGATCGCTTCTTGGGCGCCTCGCTGCCGGGCTCGGATATTGCAGGAGCTTGGTCCCATCGCGATCGTTTCTTTCCTTCGGATTGTGTACGATCCTCTGATTTTGCTAGTACAGCCACATCCCACCTCTTCTTGCGCTTCCGGCTAGCAGCGCTGTCTGTTGGTTCGGTGTCTTCGTTCTCCTTGTCAAAGTATTCAAGGTTTGCTTGCTGGTCACCAGCACCCTGAGTTGTTTTCTCTTTCCTCTTGGTGTCGATGACTCGACGAATGCGTTCCTCCTCTCTCTCAATTTCCCTTCGCTCCATGACATCCTTATAGCTTTCCCCTTCTGTTGCGGCACCAGCCTGTAGATTGGCAGCAAAAGGGTCCGCCCGAGTAGGCGTGAGGACACGATCGAACCGACGTTTTTGGTATTCCGTCTCCCGATCAGATATCTTATTACCTCGCTCGCCTTTTCCTGTGAGAATATCTTCCTCTTCTACCCCGTTGCCGTGGGAAAACTCGTCGATTTGGGCACGTGTAGCTGTATACTGGCCTACAAGGCGTCTCGAGGTGTCGACTCCCTCCATCTCCTCATCGTCCGTCTCATTAGCGGGAAGGGTCCGAAGATAACCTGCAAACTTGTCGTCGCTATTGCGATCGTAAAGATCGGTGTCAAAGGCGTCATCTAGATTGGCCTTGGTTGAGTCGCCAGCGCGTTGAGAAGAATCCAATGATCGCACCCCTTTCTTCACAGCAGCAGCAGCATTTCGCTGCTGCTGCAGCCTCTGGATTTGTTCAAAATCAGAGTCCGACATTTTGATCAGCTTGGCATTGCATTGGTACAACCTTTGAGGTAAGGTAGCGAAAGTTGGCAGATTCAGTGTGTTTGTAGCGTCGCGACTCTCGAAAATTTGCCAGACAGATCGTGTAATTATCGTATCAACTATTACTAAGCAAGAATACTGCTGATCAACATTGCTCGCTAAATTGTTTTATCACGTGACTACAATCGTGATTTTTCTGACTAATGTTCAGCTTTCCTTACTTCACAGCACGTGCGAGCTTCTGGTTTTTTTCTCCATACTTTTTATTTTACTTTACATAGCATTTTGTGAAGGTTAGAGGAGGCTACGTGGCGGTCATATAACGTGATGCACTGTGAGGAGCAGGAGGCTGAATAGGGTCTAGTGTGGGCAAAAAGTGCTGTGTACGGAGTACTCCGTACTAAGGAAGAAATAGATATGACGCTCCGTATGGAGTACATCGCGACCCTTCTGGGGGTCCGTATTAATACTAGTGCCAGGCCCCGCTTTTGTGCCTTCTCACCAATCATAGGCCCGTACGGCCAAATGGGGCGGAAGGGCCACAGTGTGGCGGATTCTAATGCTTGACAGATACCTGTGCCACGCCTTACCGAAATTGGTCGCGAAAACGCGCATTACTATAGGTAGTGTTGGACAGATTTCTTTCTTCTAAAGGTCTAAATAGCTTAATAACTAAATAGTAGCTATTTAAAGTAGTATAATTATAAGTAGCTGTGAAGGTTAAAGGAGGCTATACGTAGCGGTCATATAACGTGATGCACTGTGAGGAGCAGGAGGCTGAATAGGGTCTAGTGTGGGCGAAAGAGTGTTGTGTACTAAGGAAGAAATAGATACATCGCGACCCTTCTGGGGATCCGTATTAATACTAGTGTCATGCCCCGCTTTTGTGCCTTCTGACCAATTACAGGCCCGTACGGCCAAGTGGGGCGGAAGGGCCACAGTGTGGCGGATTCCAATGCTTGACACTCCCCCTGAATACGCCACGTAGGCGCACCGCGATGCACTGAAATCATCCTCGGCAGCCCTTTCACGGCTGCCAGCCCATTAAGCGAGGCAACAGCCTCTCGAACGCTGCTTTAGGCAGCGCCTTCGTTATGATATTAGCGATCTAATCCTTAGACTTTACGTACCGTACCGTTAACAAGCTGCCTAGTACGCTTTTACGAAAGTAGTGCTACTTAACGTCGAAGTGCTTCGAACGCTCTTTGAATTTAAGCTTCTTTGTAATGCTGATCGCGGAGGTGTTGTCTACGAACATCTAGATGTTAGCTTAGAGGCCTATTTCGAGCATAAATTGCTCGATCTAGCGGGCCTGCGTTGTTGCGTAGTAGGCGGCGCTGTATTTAGCTTTATAGGTAAAGGTGCTAACGGTTAGGAGCTTCTTAGCTCTCTAAGAGACCGGCCCTCTTAAAATCCTAAAGACGAAGCTGTACGTAGAGTGACAATTAACTAGATCGTCGGCCTAGGACGTATTAACCTACCCTTTAACGCAAATGTGCCCCTTTAGAGGAGGCTTTTGACGGCGGTAGACTATCGCATAGTCCTCCTTACCTTGCAAGTAGCAAAGCGATCGCTTAGCTAACTTAGCATGCGTTTCCTTAGGTAATTTTATTACCTTTAAGTGCTAGTGTATAGTAAAAGAGATGTCTAGTCTTGTTATTATACTAGCGTAGATTAGCTTGCTATTTGTATGCTAATATTAAAAGCTATCTACTAAGTGCTTATACTTGTTAGAAGTTACTAGACTAGTAATTAAGGTTATAATAAGGTGCGATTTGTTTATACCCTTATATTTAAGGAGGTTGCGAATATACGCCGACAAGGAAAGGCTAATCTAAGTACCCCTCTTTATAGTAGTAATCTTAATCTTAACGCCTAGTAACTATTTAGGCGTTAGTGTTATTTCTATCTCTAGCAACTAACGCATACTAAGTTTAAACAAAGCAACGTTAGTTTTAGCTTCTTTATAAAGGGCATTGTTAACGTGCGTTACTACGGTTACGCCTTTACTATAATATATAGTAAGGTTTATTATAAAGAGCCTAAGCCTTGCTAATGCTATAGTTTTGCGTAGCTTCTTTTACTAGACGTAGCTAGCTTGCTTTAAGCTATATAACGCTTGTTATAGCTAAATAACGCGATTTAGCGCCTAGTTAAGCTGGCGTGCTACTTTAAGTTTTTATTTAAAGTACTGCTAAAATAGCTCTTTTTATTCTATAAAGATATTTTTGTTTAGTAGTCTATATAAGTAAGCAGCAATTACGTCGAATTAACGTAGGGTCTAGTTAAACTAGACAGCTAGTGCTATAAGCATGCGCTAAGAGTCTAATTGAGAAGTTAATGCAAAGGTTTCGTTATAGTTAAGGCCCTGCCTCTACTAAAAGCCTCTAGCTACCAGCCTTGCCTTCTTCTTTATCTCTTCTTAATTCGGTCCTTACTTTTACTATAGCACCTACCTGCTAGTAATTATCTTCCTACTTTTTAGTTAGTCTATAAACTTAAAGACGCCTTTTATAATTAAGCTGTCTATCTTCTTAAATATAGCCTTACGCCATTAATCTAACTTGCTTCCTAACAGCGCCTCTTTTATAGTTAGCTTATCTTTTTCTATATTGTGCGCACTTAGTGCGCGCTATATACGGTCTACGCTGCCTACTTCTATTAGATTGCGCGCAGCCTAAGGCAGCATGTAAGGGTATTCCACACACGCGTCCCTACGCACCGGTTCGGCAACCAGTCGCTTACCAAGCGACGGACTTAACGAACTATCTTAACACGTTGCACGGGACAAGCACAGCCACTTAGCTGTGCCACGCCCCACTGGGGTTGCGCTACACTGCATCTTCCAGCCACGTATAAATTAGCTGGCAGGCCTTCGCCTACCCGTCTCCTATAGTTCGTTAAGTTGAAGTCTTAATACAACAGTACCAACACGTTTAAAGCCTTCGTGACCACACATTGCACACCAACCCTTACACAGCACTACGCGTTTATAAATAAGAGTTAGATTTAAGATTATAACAATCTCTTAAGGTTGATTTAGGATGCTAGCTTAGTCCTATAAAGGCTCCTTAAAGTTTTCTAGATTAAAGATATTATCTAGATCTTTATCTAGATTAGGCTCCCCCTTAACGTTAAAGTTAGGTTTTAGGATAAAAACGTTATAGTCCTACGTTTTCTAATCAATCATTACCTTCTTAGTGCGGCGCTAGACTCTCTTAGGCTAGGATTTAATTAAATCTACGTCTTCTACGATTTCTTTAAATATATGCACGTCTTTTATAACGACAAGCTTACTATAAAGGATAGCTTAACACTTATATAGGTAAGTCCCTTTAAAGCCTACAAGCATAGCCTCTTTGCCTTATAGTTTAAGCTTTAAATCGCCTACCTTTTAAATAACTTGTTTAGGTTTTCGAATTATAGCTCTAGAGCTAATTATACGCAAGTAAGAGACGTTTAGTATAAAGTTTTCGTCCTTCTTTTAACCGTTATTACATCGCTACTAGACAATTAGCACTAGCCTTTTAAAGTTAGCTATATAGTTTTAAATATAGGTTGCTAACTTGCAGACTTCTAGCTAGAGTATAGGGGGGATATAACCTTAGAGATAAAGTAGTCTAGTACAAATAATAACCTCTTTAACTGCCCTCTTAGCTCCTTTGTTTTTAGCTAAGTTATATAAAGGGCTAAGGATTACCTTAATGCCTCTTAGCACGTAGTAGCGCTTAATAGCCGTAATAGCGATGTTTATACCGTTATTAAGGTAAATTCGAATAGGCTTATAGCCTAGTTTATTTACGTTTCTTTTAAGCACTACTTTAATTATAGGCAGTGCTTCTATTTTCTTTTTGTGCACTAGCACTTCGATTAAACCTATAAATTTATCCTTAATAATAGTAATATACCTTAACCTATTATAGCTAACTTGCTTAAATTAGCCTAGGTTAATATAATATACCTCTCTTAGTCTTTATATATAAATTTCGCGTCTATCTTTTAGCTTAAAGTGCTTAGCCTTTACTAGTTTATAAAGGGTACAAACTAGCTTAGTGTTTTCTATAACGTTTTCTAGCTTTACAAGCCCTTTTTCTACCTGCTTTAACGTCTCTTTAAGCGCCCTTTAAGACGAGTAACCTATCCTTTGATAAATAAGGCGTAGTTTCTAGCGCTTGCTTAAAGACTACGTATAGCTTTTAGGTTAAATTTGTTAAATTTAAGATTAGTCTTAGCATCCTAAACAAAGTCTTAGTAAAATTCCTAAGCCGCGCAATTTATCTTCTTTTAACTTTCTCTCTATATAGGAGAAGGCTTATTTTAAATTATAGCTTAGTGCTATTAATGTAATTGCCTACCTTATAAAAGCGTAGGCTAGATATAATATTTAAAGGGAAGCCTAGTACTAAGAAAACATAGTTTAAGGTTACTTTATATGCCGTACTATCTAGTCTTATTATCTAGAGCACTACTTAGCCTGCAAACTTAGTAATAATAGGGCTACTACTAGTATAAATCATAATTATAGCAGTATGCTTTATACTAGGTTTAAACTAACTAGGGTTGTTAGTAATATAAATATTACCTTCTATATTAAACAGCTAGTCGTCTATATAGCTACTATAGAAGTTATAGAAGAGAGCATAGTAAGTATAACCCTTTATTAGTTAGGGGCATAGATCTAGGCCTTTATAATTCGTTCGCGCATCTAGCGCGCAGCTATCGTTATCTATAGTAATAATACTATTATATAACTTATAGTAAGAGTCTACGTTTACTGCTTCTTGCAAGTTATCGGTGATTATAACTATACCGAAATTAAGTGCTAGCATAAACGTAAGCACCTTGTCTATAGGTTTAAACTAAACGGTAGTTATAAAGCTAACTACTTTGCTAAAGGGTTCTTTTTCTACTATATTGCTAGTTTTGCCTTTAGAGGCTTACTTAAGGCAAAGCTCTAGGTTCTTCTTCTAGCATTTAGTAATTATATGCCT